TTTATATATTCTCCCCGCCTTGTTGGGATGAATATTTTGTTTGGTTCGACATGTTTGACATGTGTTTGAATGTTAGGGTGAAGCGTTTTGTAACTCCATTAGAGTCGGTGACGAAGGTGTCCAACCGCACTTCTTGGATATTGATATCTTTGAGATATGCATTTCCTGATGGATGTTGTTTTGTTTTGTGTAGTTCGTAACTCCATTAGAGTCGGTGACGAAGGTGTCCAACCGCACTTCTTGGATATTGATATCTTTTAAGATACAATTCCTAATGGATGTTGTTTGTGAAGTTTACTTTGTTGTTGTTAGTGTATTTTGTTGTAGTTTACAGCTCCATTAGAGTCGGTGACGAGGGTGTCCAACCGCACTTCGTGGAAGCTGGTATCTTTTTAGATGTACAGTTCCCAATGGAAGCAGTTTGTGTAGTATATTTTGTTGTGTTTGTAGCTCCATTAGAGTCGGTGACGAGGGTGTCCAACCGCACTTTTTGGACTTTCCAGTCTTAATGGTAGCTTGGTGTAGGGATTTGTTTTTGGGTTTGTGTGATTTTGTTGTAGAGTTTATTTTGATCTTATATTTAGTTTCCTAGTCCTTTCTGGCGTATGGATTTTTGTATTCCTGGAGTTTGTAGAGTTTTAGTGGAGTTTGGTAGAGTCAGTTTTGGAGTTTAGATATTTTGCAATCTTTTTGTTTGATATGTTTGTAGAGTAGAGACTTTTCAGCATAAAAGAAAGAGTCCTTTCTTTTATTTTTTTTCGGGAAGGTATGTAATGTAACGGTGCATTTCGCGCCATTACAGTAATTTGAACCTTAGTCTCGTTTTTGTTTTGTTAGATTGAATTTTTTGTCGTTTCTGCGAGTGCCGATGGTCGAGGGACGGACGAGAGTAATAATCGATGTTGTTCGCCCGCGATTAGTTTAGTCGATTTAGTTTTTCTTGTTCTGGCAACATTTTTGTTTCCCCGCTCTATAGAGCGAGAGACGATTGCACTGGTATCACTTTGACTTTCACTTTTGGACCGGCCGCCGAGCGAAATGACGCAAAACAAATTTTGTCATTTAATTTTTTAGAAATCCGTATTTATTTGATATGGACGAGGGCCTATTTCCTCTTTAAAAGTTTGGCCAACCTAGTTAAGACTCGAGCTAGTGGATCGAGTGATTATTTTTGATGAGAAAGGTGAGTTTGTTCGGCCACGTGCTTCACGCTTGGCTTGGCGGAATTTGTGGTTTTAACTCTTTGTTTAATTGGTTACAGGCAATGCTTATAATGCTTATAATGCCGCTGCTTGATTTGTGAAGCATTTTAGAACCCTGGTAAGTGAAATATGATTTCTTGTCAGAGTTATGGTTCATCTTGTGAGATAGGCTTTTAACCTATAATTTTTCCTTATTTGCAGATGAATCAGGGTTTTTTTTTTTTTTAGCTTATATCTAAAGTCTTTACCTTACCTAAATTATTTTACTTTCTTATTGGAATGTCCTTGCGTGGCATTCGATTTTTGTCTCTCGCCGGAGTTTAACCCCTGGAAATTAGTTTGCTGTGGAGCGCCAGAATGGTAGAAAAAGCTGCTTAGCTGTACGCCATGGTCTGGAGCCTGGGAGTGCTGACCCGCCTCTTACACCACGTGGGATCCGGAGTGAGAAGTTTCGGAGTTTGGTTTGATTTCATTTTGTTCGGACTGATCCAAGGTCATCGGTATGTGTTTTTGTTATATTTTTCTTGGCGACGTGGCATTGAATACTGCAGGTCCCTAAGGGGTGTTATTTTTATTAGAGAGTAGGTCAATGCTATGTCTACCCTTAGAGTTTATTGTTTTGTCTATTAAGTCTTTATGCGACTTTGTTTAAAAAACCTATACAGGTCCCCAAAGGGGTTAATTTTAATTAAGGGAGTAGGGCGTTGCTACAACTACCCTTATACTCTTTTCTTTTTGGGTCTTCATGTGACTCTTTAAAATTTATTTAACCTTATAATTTTCTTATTGGAAAGGATTGCATTAATGACAGTACTAATTTGTGTATAAGATTTACCTAATGTAATTAGAGACATAAGACACATTGTACTCTACAGACACTACGGGATAATAAACAGCCATTAGAACTTAACATCTTGTATTCTTTAGCTGTCCTCCCGCCTTGTTTTAAAAAGGTTCGGTGCTGGCTGAGATGTCCGAGGTATTTGTTGTGTTTGTGGTGGGTTCTGTGTTCTTTTAAGGTGGTATCTGGCGCCCGAGACTTTTATTTTGTTATTTTGTTTCTATTTGATGCCACCAATTCACCAATTTAAGTTATATTTCTTTTAAAACACACCCCACAACATATATTTAATTTTTTATTTTTTTATTATTACATAATTTAGTAATTTATGCAGGATTATCTTATTATGGTTAATTCAAAACAGTAATATCCCCATTAGTTAATAACAATAAATCACTTCAGTTCATTTTGAACATTCTACTGCTAATGTCTGATAGCACGTTCTAGTCCTTCTACTCACCTATTCTAAATGAGGGTGATTAAATTTAGATTTGATTGTTATTTGGAGTAGAGAAGACTACTGCCTTCAATCACGAATATTGGTAAAGTCACTTGTTATTTGACTGACCTCTATCTTTTCTGATAAAGGTAGTGGTACTCTGAAGGAATATTGTCAAAGGTATACAAGGGTTTTAAAAAGAACTTGCAATAGGTACCGAAGTATAATGTGTTAAAAAATTATAAATAAATAGTACTATATTTGTGTGTAAAAGTATAACGACTAACTTTGAGCTTCCAGAGATATACTCATTGTTCATGTTATTGCCATACAATTTGTTCTAAAAAAAATATAATGTTAATTTTGACATCCCATTGTCAGCTATCATTATCTATACAAATAAATAAAATTGGAGTGTCTGTTTGTAATATTAAAATAACCGCTTTTTAATAAATGCATATGTATGTTTACATGGTACATATGCCAAAATATAATTTTTTCAATTTTTGACTGTCTGTCTGTTTGTTCCAGGTAATCTCTGGAACTACTGGACCGATTTCGACAGGACTTTCACGGGCAGATAGCTGATGACATAAGGAGTAACTTAGGCTACTTTTTTTAGACTAGCTTCGCCCCGCGGCGTTGCCCGCGGTTATAACAACAAACGCGGGTAACACCGCGGGTCTCAGCTAGTATAGTATAGTATTGATCAACTGAATCAACAATTTTCCACAATAAATGATACAAGTTCATTGTATTGTATACATATACCTTAGAGCATGTTGACTGCACAGATGGCATAGTGGTTTAAGCGGTCACCTCGCCGCTTCTTACTGCGCTAAGTGTTGTGGCTTCGAACCCCACATGGGACAATCACTTTATGTGATCCACAAACTTGTTCTGAACATGGGTGTTTTTTGTGTCCATTTCATGTATGTTTGTGAAGTCACTCATAACACAGGACTATATTCCTAGTGCGGGAATGTCTTTTTAAAGAATTAAAGAATGTTATTAGCCTAATAGCAGATGGAAGAGATAAATCCAAATTCTTCTTTTATGAATTGTTCATTTTCATAAATAGGTTTTTCGTATTGTAAAATTTATTTGCACATGATCTTAGATTTAAATCATTGGGAGAGGCCTATGTCCAGCAGTGGACAAGCATAGGCTGAGGTATATTAGATTTAAACTGTACATTTTTAAACAACAAATACAATAACTGTGACATGCACATGACAATATATTTAGAGAGATAAATATTTCATTACTCTAAAACTTAACTATAATTGCCATACACATTTACATTAATCACTAATTTAAATAACCATGAATCTCATGATCATAATAATAAGCATATCCACAATATATTATTTAACCTCTTATTTGACAGAGAAAATTGAAACAGTACCTACCCAAATTTTACATAGATTTTTGCAAATATTTGTAAGTACCAAAATTTATCTTAATTTTTAATTTTTAAATTTTTTGGAATTATTCCTTTATGTGTGTGTATGTCCACGGGACCTACCATATAGGTTTGACCCAAAACCTATAAGGTACTTTCGGTTGAGCTAGAATTGTCAATTTTGGTTAAAAGCAAGGAATATTTCAATAAAGGAATAATTCCAAAAAATACAAGTAATGCAGCATGAAAATGTTAATTTGTGTCTATGTAATGTATGTATTTAAAATAAGAGCTAACATAGCTCTTACCAAGCTCTAGCTAACTGTTTTGTTAGCATTTTCCTTTAAACCATTTTTAAATATGAGTCAACATAGCTTTTATATCTTTTATCAAGCTAGTAAAAAAAACTAAACATGTCTTTTAAATAAGATAAAATAAAAGAATAAAGTTGTTTACTGAAGGCAATCTTTTTCTTATAGTTATCCAATATGCTGACATCTTTATAATCTATTTTTTTTTTTATACCACATGTTTAACACTGCTCTTACATGTGGTATTTCTTTATTAGCAATCAAGCTTGATATGAGCTAACAAGGATTTTCTAAAGAAACTATGTAATCTCTTTTCAAAGTCTTTACAAGCCAATCATAGCTCTTATAAAACCTATGTTAGCTCTTATCAAGCTCGAGCTAACAAAAAAAAACACCACATGTCTCATCAAGCTAATTTGTGGTGTTAATAACACACAGCTTAATGTGAGAATTTTTAGTTAACATTCCATAGCATATGTTTGGTATTTAACAAAAATACAAACAGTAAATTCTGTGGTATGCTCCACTTCTTGTCTATTTTAGAACTTTCATAAATCTAGGTGAATTTATCATTTTAGGTATTGATAAAAGAAATAGTTGAGTAAATTTAAAGATGTAAGCACATTGGAAAGTAAATAACATTCACTTTCATGTGTGTTATAATATAATATAATAGTAGAGATAGATCTATAACAATAACCAAGAAAAAGGATAAATGTAAGGAAAATATTGCTTTCAGTAACAACTTTATTTTATGAATGATTTTAAAAACAAGTATAATATTATATAAAGGTTAACTTACCGACATAACATCCCAATTCTGTTAGTTTTGCCTTGATGGCCGACTGAAAGTAAAATTTTGGTGATCAATGCAATTGCCATCCATGTCATGACTTCAATCAACTTTAAACGTATTATTATAGTTACAATTAATACAGTTTTATAGTTTTAAACATGAACAAATCCTTAATTATTTTCAATTACTTCTTCCCTATAATATTAAACGATTTTAGTAAATATTTACCCGCATTTTCTGGCCAATTTCGCTGCCGACGACATCCATTTTGGTTTGTATTTTGATAATAGTATACTATTAAAGTTAACTTCACTACCATATAATAATTGAAAGTACTCTAAAACAACCTTTTTTAACACATTTTAATGTAAATCACTATTATTATTCTAACTTGAGTCCCACTGATGTAATAATCACCATTGCACTGCACGGAGTGAACTTCACTGGCACTGGCACTTGCACCGCGATGTGTTATTTTCTTCAGCACTGACATTTGACAGTGACAATCATGACATTTCTATTATCAGGATCACAGATAACTATATACTAGTCATAGGATCGTTACGTTACGTTTTGTTTCAGTGAAGTAAGACCCCTTCATTTAGAAACATAAACACCCTAATATAAACTAAACATTTTCAACCTGTAGTCTAATAATGTACATAACAATTTTTGGTTGATTTGTGTATGCTTCAAAAACTCAAAAAAATTGCGTTTAAATGACACGATATAAAAAAACATTTATCGATAATTTTTATCCATTGTTCGCTTCAGTTTTGTTCCTCATTCCTTTTCAATGTAACCACAATGTGACACAGCTAATCGTGGCAGGGGTCTGCTAGTTTGATATGTTTATCAAACTAGGGTTACTGGTAAAGTTGACTTAAATAATTCAGGCAGTTGTGGTTGCCATCATTGCTGATAGATTTCACTATGAAATACATATCCCAAACCTAACCATTTTCAGGATGTTAGACTTTTAAGATTTATATAAAAATTAAAAAAAAATTTGCTAATGCATTTCCAATATCAAAATTGCATTTAACTACATGGTTACATGGATGGTATGATAACAGTAAAATAAAATAAATTTGAAAAATAACAATTCTTGAGCAATATTAAAATAATCAATGATTAATATAGGTAGATACATATATTATATCCCATAGTCAACAGCCGGCTTAATAGTATCTGAATCTAGAATAGTATCAGAATTCATAGAAAAAAACTTTGATAAATGACCGGTAGTCTTAAGAATTAATATGAATATATTTAAAAATATATAAGTATGTTTATCAGCGGTCTGGTTACCATAGCACATAGTCTGTCTAGTTTGGTGTGTGAGATACATTATTATTATTTTAGTACCTACCCTGTAAAAACTTCCCTTGTATTTTCGATTGTTTTCTATTCTATTCATGACTAACTATTGCCAACTGGACTTTGATTTGTGCTTTGGATACTGTTGAAGATCATAACGTAGACGAACGAATATGTTGAATTTGATACTGCCATTGGCAGTATCCGTAAGATCTCTTCAAAGGATCTCCTTGGATGCTGATACGCATTGGCATACCTGTATCCAAGGAGATTCTTTAAGGAGGTTGGATTTCTGCACATTTATGCTTCATTCAGATAGATTCTTTTCCACAGAGGTCAGAACAGTTGTTTGTCATACATGCTGCTTGTTTATGTGTTTGTGTGTGTGTGTGTGTTTGACATGCTGTATTCAAGTTAATGAAGTTATCGTTAGCTAGGAATATGTAATAGCTCTTCTGTATCAACAAATGAAAGGCAAAGCATGTAGTACTTTCGTTTTACACTGTGCTTTATGAAATGGATAAATGCCTCATGTTTGATTGATTTTATTATATTGGTATGGACCAATGAAGTAAAAAAATCGCCTTATGAAGAATGATTTTGATTAACAAGTACCTAACATAAACAGAGTATTACATTTATTCATACAGCACTGATCATATTGTAGTTCATTGGATCCCCCAATCACACATTTGCTCTTTTGTTGATCATTTGCTCCAGTTAAAAATGCTAATTTATCAATCCTATCTCACAGAATTAATATCCCAACTATTACAGAATCCTTAGAAAAAACAGATTTCTCTCCTATCCTCGCGATGAATGGTCGTGACTTGGCTGCGAAAATGCTAGTTAACGTGGTAAAATCCACAGTACAGGTGTTTCTATACCAAATTGCAAACGCATTATGAAACCGTGAATTACTCCTGGACTCTTAAGGTGCATTCGTCAAACTTTATCAGAAACATAAAAACATCTAGCAAATTGTACTTATGAAGTCATATTTCTTCGTTACCGCAATCCTTAACAAAAGCAACTAGCAAATGCTAGAAAAAATCGTTCGTGGCAAATCATTACAGACGTTGCACACTTAGTTGTTAATAAAAAACGTTCTTCCGACCTCTTAAAAGTTTCGAGCAGCCGGGTACTGTATCATCAACAGACTTTACTAGTCCACTGCTGGACATAGGCTTCTCCTTAGACAGTAGGTACTGCTATAAATGCCATTAACTCATTTTGGTCCATGTTGGTCAAAACTTAGCCTATCAAATTATTAAATGATCTACTTTAAGTACCGATTTTCAATCTCTCGTCTCGAATCACATGTCTTCGTTAAACTCTATGGCTTTACTCCCGGTGTGTGCAGAAGAAACAAAAAAAAACTATAATTAATTTTAAAGTAAACTACGCGGTATGATGAGATGGTACTTTATCCTCTGTCATGAAAGCTGCGCAACATGTACTCACAATTTGTCTTATTCATGTATTTAACCTGTGTCTCGTTAAACAAAGAGTCGGCATTAAAACAAGTAAAGAACTGGTTGAATTTCAACCTTCTTACCCTTAACTTATCTAAAACCAAATACATACCATTTACTATCAATCAAGCATTTCAGCCTCCTACCTCTATCATTCTTTGTGCCGATGCCTGTCCTTCACCCGAAACGGGTATGGTTACATGTTGCAACTGCACCTTCGTACAATTATTCTCAATAAGCCAGGTCCTTAATGTACGTCAACTCTTTATACTAAATGCTGCGCTTGGCCAATATGCTGAATTACATTCCAATCCCACATTTATCTCTTCGAATCGAAGATCTGACAAGGTTTGCCAAATTTTAGCTTGCCAAACAGAGGTAGCGAGTCGACATTATTATTTTATCAACTCAAAACTTTATAAGAAACTAAATAAGGAGTTGAATCTACATCCAGTCACTCTTAATAAATGTAAAGCGACGTGGGAACGCGTACTGCGCGAGCTAGCTCGCAGCGCGAGCCGCTGTCAGTCGGTTTTTGGTCGCGCGTCAAAGAGAACGCACACGACCGGGTACGCTATATTTGGACGGCAAAATGAATAAACACGCATGTTCTTCGAGTTTCAATAATAACATATCATCAGATTGATTCAACTTTATGAATTTCACCGGGTCTTGTGGGATAGCAAATTTTTGTCCCCACTTTCTTCATAATTTAAATCTTCCATAAGCCTATTTCCACACTGTAATCTTTCACGATACAATTTTTTCATCCACCATCTAGGTTTCCGTTTGTTTCTCTTTTTTTTATTTAAAATGTGTTGAATAATGAGTAATGCTGCAGCAGTGGTGGTGCACGCAATCGCTAAGTTTGTCGGCGTCATGGCGTATGACTGGGGCTCGCGGAGCGCTCTGGATCGATTGACCTCGCGTACAGGTTCGCGGCGGTCCGTACAGGAGCTGTACGCGTATCCAATGTACGCGTTGACTTTTAAGTCTAACATATGCAGACTCCGAACTCCTCTTAAGTAACTAAGTAATTTACGCGTTCACATAAACAAACCCGCACAGATCCCCTTCACACACACCTTAAACTACACGTAACGTTAACATAACTATATACAGTGGCGGATTATCCCTAAGGCAAAGTAGGCACGTTGCTACACGGGCACGAGGTTACAAAGGGTCCCGCGCGCAGAATTTGTTTACAAAGAAATAAGCTCCGATCGCCCAGAATAAGGTGCGCTCTGAGGGTGGATTTCTGCCATGGGATTTAGAGATGGCAATTACTGGCCGTGCTCCTACCGTACCCCTTGCCGTGCCACGATGACTCAGAGTTGACTTCTGCGAGCAAGTTATGCTCGAGAAGAAGAGGGCGGAGCGGGATCTGAAGAGGCTGGGAACGGGCCGGGAACGGGCCAAGTACCGCAGGTGGCTCAGACTGTGGAGGTCAGTGAATGGCTCACATCCGGCATAAGTGCAGGCCTGGGGGTGACAGGAGAGGCCATCTGTCACCACAAAGGGAAGGCCCGGACTACTTATTAAAAGCTGTTTTCGGATCCCTCCTATTTCAGGTGCAGTGTGTGGTCGGTTCGATTCCAATACAACGCCCACCGCAAACCTCGGTGGGAGATAGCCCATGTACAGCATGTACCCAGGTAGCCACACGTAAAAAAATAAAAAGACAACTAAACTTTGGAGTCATTTGCTAGAAAGGTGAAGGAAGGGGTGGAGGGGGCACCGATGAGATGCTTGCCTAGGGCGTACTTGATACTTAATCCGCCTCTGACTATATAACAATTACACTCACACACCATACATGTACCCATATACTTTTTTGTATTGTAATTGGATTTGTATTGGTTTTAATAGTATTTGTGTGTAAGTGTTATTATATTATATATATATATATATATATATATATATACATATATTATAAATTTGGTTTCCTGTACTTTTTGGGAGAGGGCACAGTTTTATTACCTACTACTCATCATCGATTATACTCGATATCATCGTTTTCAAATGTACCTACCTACTGTGTAAAATTGATTTTTATTTCCAAATTAAGAATTATTATTATTATTATTATTGTGTAACAGTCGAATGTTACAAATGTAACAGTCGAATCTTACAAAAGTAGTACAATGTAGCGTTAGGGTAGAGTAAGCTTAAATACAAAAATCATAGAACGTAACTGTTTTAGGAAGCCTCGAAGACATAAAGAATAACGCTAGAGTTTAAATTACTTCGCATTACATTCCTTCAGCCCAGTGTTATAAATTCATACTTATTAAAAAATAAATAAGCAGAAATAAGAATTGTTTTATGTTTCGTTCAAATTATATAGTTACGTTCTCTAGTCACAAAATGTTAGTCTCATCTGTTAAAATGCACCTTTTAAATTACTTCGACTATAAATAGAATTGAAACTATTATTCAATTTTCTCAATATTATATTTCATTATTATAATTCTCCAACAACCATTGATATCGTAATTTTACACATTATTAACGGTAATAACAAACAATAAATAACGAGCAAATCGGATATTTACAAAATAATTTATCGCATTCGATTTTATTTCAAAAAATCTTAAGATAATATGGCATATTGGTAATATGAACAGCAATGTGTTATAAATATTATAAATAACATATTATTAAATACTGATTAAGCTTAAAGTAAAATTATAATTCAAACAATGTGGTGACGATAATAAACGTAATAAATCTTTGGCCTAACATTGGAATGTTGTTCACTATTGACTTTGATAAAGAGAAAATAAAAACAATAGAAAATACAAAATAGAAATATTGAAAAAAGCATACTTAATAATATTGGTCTCGCTCTAGCAGAAGGTATGGTCTTAGAGAGCAATAGATATAGCACTAACGGACTTCTGGTTCAAGCTGTCTAAATGTGAAAGTTCGATCCTATAAAAATCTAGTTTCCCATGTGTATTATGTAATAGTGAGTTTCTACCTTTATGTAGGGCCATTTTCATAATGGTAATGCTGGTTTTGTGATTTTTATTGACAGAATTAGCCCATTTTGACTAACACGTATTATCCCCACATACTTACTCAATAAATAATTAAGCAAACTATACCGAAGGAAGCTTTTTGCTTGTGAAGAACTTTCGCTTGATGTGTCGGTATTGTCGGAATGATAGTGACAACTTACAGTTATTCTATTATTAAAATACTAATAAAATTAAGCAAATATGACTATTTAAATGAAATAACACTGTAAACAAAGTTGGCAACACTAAACAGGAGTATACGTATAGTATATTATCTTATTATTTACTAAATTGGTCATGTATTACCTACCTTAATATATAAAGGAATGTAGAGTTCATTAATTATTTCAATATACCACATAACCCTCGGTCATTATTGCTACTCTGAAAATAAGAGTATTCTGGAAGACTTACAATATTTCTAAAGGTAGCACAACACCTACCTTTTTATATTAATTAAAAATATTTACATTTCATATTATGTCGATAAATGCTTGCCTGCCGCTCGTTATAGGACGGATACTGAGTAACAGAAAAGACAAAATTCTTAATAAATACTACTTAGAACTTTAAAAACCTTAGCTCGATTTTACTTTGTCCATTCATTTATTTTCTTAGACAGTTCCATAAACTGTCAATTAATGATCATAGAAATCTTGCCCCTTATTAAAAATAGTAATCGACTCAATTAAAGAGAAATTTTCTAATTCCTTTATTAAATTATTACCATTATAAGTATCGATTATTAAAATTACAAATGACCCCACTAACGAATCTTTTTGTGGGTTAGTCTATGTTTAATTTTGATAATTACCATCTTCACTAATTCATTGGAAATATAATAAAAGTAAATATGAGTGTTCACAATAATCGATGAACCGCATTTCATAGTAATAGTAATATCGATTGCATAATATGCAGCAGAAACATTAGTTCTCATCACAGCATACATCAGAAGTCTTTTACTACTTTTTACCACTACAGATAATAATAGTATTGAGTATCGAATAGTTAAAAGTAGTACAATCTTATGAAAATGGATAACCTATATTTTTCATTTTAAAATACAATATGAAACACATAAATTGACCCTGGTCATGTTCCTAAAAGATTCAAAAAGAAAATAAAGGAATAGACAGTATAAGGAGCAATGCTGGGAAATGCTCGTATTAAGACTTATGTGATGGGTCATAAACGCGCTTGAGATTAATTGGTATAGCCATTAGTACACACAACGTGATAAAGCTAATTAAAATAAATGTTAACATTCTTACTCCACAGGTAAACACGTAATATCAATACTAAAAGAAAGACTACCTAACGACATTGTGTCATTTTAAACCAAACGCTAATACTTGTTAAAAGTTAAAGAGTTGAAATACTATGTGCGTCTAATAAATTCATAAAAATGCAAAAAATATTTGGTTTACAATATCTTTGGTACGTCGTATAAACGAGCGACATGAGCTATACATTGGTTTGTTTATCACTTCGTAGGTCGTCAATTTGAAACCTGGTAACTTTGGGTCCTAAACTTAATTGGGACCCCGTCGTAAAAGGCTTAGACCTATTCGATCTCGAGTCGATACTTTGTCGTGATCCGGTAACTTGATTTATACACGAATTGTCAGATTTGGCACCAACGCTAACTTGTGATCCGTTCTTTTTAAATCTTTTCTCGAGAGCTTTAGTACCAAAGCTGACAGATGCGGTGGCAGGCCCAACGGCTTGTGCGGGCCCAGTGCTGCCAGATCCTGACGGTCTGGGGTTTATTTTCCGCCAGGGCTTGCCAGGGCTCCCCGAGGGTCGACTCTCGACTCCCCCAGTGACACTTGGCTGAGCGCCGTTTGCGTGTTGTTGAAGCTGTACCCGTGACGCTCGTTCCATTTCTCTAAAAAGAATGAAGGACTAGTTAATTGTTGTATTTTGTATGCGTAACCGCTATTTACATATGTATATTTAATGCAATATTAATTTAGTATAGCGCAAATATAAACCAAAGCAGTTAAGTTTTAAATTCCGGCGAGATTACTTAACGAATTACGAAACTGATAAACAGATTTACCACAGCTAAAAGTGATGTGTATACATGAAGTGAACGAAACATGCAAAAAAATGAAACGATGATATGACACAACACGCTGCAGAGTACATATTTCGTTGACACTTAGTCCCTATTTTACTAAAACACAAGGGAATATTAGGCAAATAGAGCAAATGCTTCAATAAATAAAAGAAAGGTGATTTATATTATTCACAAAGAAATGTTTGTATAAAATATCCTGGCCCAGAAGCTTCACCGTAGCCCGGTAGCGAGTTGCATCACGAATGATACCTTCACGGTCTGATATATGTAGGAAGGGCTGAGGTGCGTTCCGATTTCTTCACGGCCTGGCATGCGACGGGCGAGGAGGGATACGCACCGCTGGTGAGCCCCGAGAGGCGCGCGAGGGGGCAGCATAGCGCCGCCGCGTACGCAGCGCGGTACTGCGCATTCATTATCACGTAGATGATCGGGTTTACGCAAGCGCTCGCGTACAGCAAGATGTAACCCGCAATATGGAATACTGCAGACAAATCACAGATTACATTGATATAGGTTCTAGATTTTATATTCTAGATTATGTATAAAAAGAAAATGAATAAATTTTTGGTGCTTCTGACATGAAATTGATTTATTTCAGTAAAATTGAATATGCAAAATTCAAATACTTTATCAAGCTGAGATCTAATCTAGTAGCTAATCGCATGTCACATTAAATTTAAAGACATCATCTCTTACCGGGAAAATGCACATGATTGTCAGCGACCTTCGCGATGGTGATAGGCAGGTAGCATACGAGGAAGGACAAAAAGATCGCGAGTACCATCTTCGTAATTCTCCACTCGTTTCGACGGGCTTTGGTCTCTCTGTTGTCTTTTATCGTGGACCTCTTATCGTTGCTATTAAGGTTCCCAGGGCTCATATGTTGGGACCTTTGATGTTCACGCATGCGTTGTTCTGAGCTGGAAGTAGATATATTTAATAAGTAAGGTATTCTACAGTAGCTGAAGTTCTAACGAGATCTGTACGATTTCTATTCCCAATACAGTTTACAGGTTTCAAGACTCCCATACTATACTAATTCCATTCGATTACGAAACGAACACGTCAGAAACTAATTAGTTTACGCCAAGTTTAAGATAGCGAAAACGAAGAACGCTAGGATATCGTCCATGAGGTTACTTTAAGTAACCGTTACCAAAAAGTTACCTGAACATATTGTACCGTAAGTACAGTTATAAAATAAGGCTCGCAAGTTATTCAGAAGACTCCCTGAACTAAAGATCAAATATTTGAGCGTATACTAAACCTTTGCTGAAGTTATAAAACAATGATGAACGATAAAATAATACAGACAGAAATCTAGATAAAGCTTTTCAAAACTGTTTTAATAAAGTTGTGTTTAAGCGTTACCTACCATTGTTTTATGCTCAATGCTTAGGCCATTTTCTTTTGGAATATGTGAACAAAATCCTAACAAATTTGTACGGGTGTCGTTTTTGAATATAATAAAATATCCTGATCCCTAGTATGAAACAATAAAACCCCCAGAGAACCAGACAAGCCTCGAGCTACAAATCCCATTTACACTTTTGTGAAATAACTTTCCTTGGATGTAGAACATCGTGTGTTAGGACAAAATTTACTTTATCTCATATATCGTAATAAAGACAGCGATGCGTTACATTTTCTACTTACTGTGTAATAAAGCACCTACCCATATATATCTACTTGGTTGATTTTTTAATCGACTTTGAAAGCACATTGGTAGGTACTCTTAACCAGAAATAACTATTAAACTCATTGTATTATTTTACATTTGACACCTACCACCCTGTAATAAAACACATGTTCAATTTAAAGTTAGGCAAAGGCGTAACTTAGAAATTAGTACGATAAGTACAAGATTGAATCTATGCTCTCGTGGCCCATTGATGCGGTATTCAAGCATGAACCTGTGTTTGTATATCATATAAGAGTGAGAAATACAAACTATTACTGTTCCTCTGATCCACTGAGTTATCAGTTTTCTGGAAGCCATACCTAAGTCTGAGCAGTGAATTCATAAATTGAGAGTGCGTCAAAAGAACGAAATGGTTAAGGTAATCCTAAGCACTCAAAAATATAATACTTAATAGTACAGTATGGGAGGCTCAGTTGTTAGCCTACAATTGTTAGTAAAATGTAATGTACTAGTTATACCTGTGTACCACCCAGAATATCCTGGCGTAGCATATTAATATGAGCAGTGCTGGTACAATGAAGGCAATCACGAACAGGGCAGTCTTCGCTGAGCGGCCATTGTCGTCTGGCATGATTGAACATGTCCCTAACTCTGGGTCGTAGTCAAATTTACCTAAAACGAACAAATACCTATATATGGTATGGTATTGAGGAAAGCTCATTAGTAATAAGACGTCTGTGATGCAGAGATTAGGACTTTTTATGATTGCTGCATATTTAACTTCAAGGACAGTAATTTTACTTATACTGTAGTCTAGAGTATTCTGTACAAAAGTTTATTTAAAAAGTTTTTTTTATTCATGTGTGTATAATTTTGAGCCTGAAAACAGTCTGGTTACATAAGGTTAATCATAAGGTTACATCAAAATCAGCTAAACAGTTAAGGAATGCATAGACGATAAATATATAAAGGTTCATATTTTTTCACGCAGATAATGCTTACCCCATACTCCAACAAGCGTAGGTATCTGCATACCGTACGAGAACATCCACGAGAATACGATCATAAGTGCAATGTTGTGTTTGCGGTATACGCGCGAGTACCAGCTGTGGTGGGCTATCATTATATACCTGGAATAAAAATATTTCTATCATTCAATTACTCGGCTTTGTTTGCATGTTTAGAGACTAAGTAAAGCTGACGCGTCTTGACGATTAACGGGCAGTCCTAATGAGTATTTAGAGAATAAAGTAAATTTGTAGACTTTATAGTTATAATGTCACAGTTTTTTTTTAAATTTAAGAGTGCCCGTCAAAAATTTACTAACACTAGCAGGTAATCTCTAGTTACTAGGAATTACCTGGTGGAATTTGACCACAATTCATAATCAGTTTTTTTTCCAATATAACTTGAACAGGAAAAGGAAAGGTAGGTATGACAATGAATCACACCTTACCTTGGCCCGGTCAATAAATATTTTACCCTGTCCTGTTTTTTGTAGTATTTTTCACACGATTTAAAACAAACAAATCAGAAAATGTTTCTTAACTGTTTTGTCTAGCCTTTGAAGACGAATGAAAATAATTTAATGATGTTAGTATCTGTTGCAACATAAAAATGAAGATTTTCTGAAGTATAAGTACACTATTGTTTATACAACAATCGCGGAGTCCATACTAGATATCTTATTTCTGTGAAGGGCTGCGAAAGGTAATAAAAGTCAGGTCACACGCAAGCTGTCTGGGTGCACAGACGGTATCGTGCCCGTATTTGCATTAAGAATACATTGCATACGGCTAAATACCTAAATGCATAAACAGTGCAATTGCAAGCGAAAATAACAGGGTTGAAATTGTTTTATTCCAGTTTATAAGTACTAATTTTACGGATCATTTTAAAGTTTCCAAGCTAGCTATTGAGTGAGTAACGCGGTGTTGTGTTGTGTTTACTTACTCACTGATGCATCGTGCTAGTAATTATAACTAATTTTCATCATTATTTCAGCCGAAAAAGTCACTGCTGGACATAAGCCTTTACCAAGATTCGTTAATAATAGCACTACTAATACACACAAAATACAAAAAGCCAAATAATAATTGATGTTTAACACTCCACGACACTGTTACGTGCCTTACTAGGCCAACTTAGCAACTTAACAGTGTAGTGGAGTATTAAATAATAATAATTTTAATACTAGAAACGTCGGTTACAATACTCTCATGAGATTACGTACCTGTTCAAGGTTATGAGGGCGATGCTTAAGAGAGACACTCCAACGTTCCCGTACCTGAGGAACGGTACTAACTTGCAGAGCACTCCGCCGTGAGACCACGTTCGAGTCCAGAAGCCTGATATGGCGAATGGGAGTACGATGGCACAGAACAGGAAATCCGCAATGCATAGACTGGAATTATAATCAAATATTTACATTGTACACAGACACAGTTACAGTTCATATGGAGAAGAACTGCACAAAGCTATTTTTTGAAATACGAGTATGTACATTATAGCCATGATCAAACCTTTGATTAGAGGTATAGTCTTTGACAAAAGATCCTAATAAAGTTCAAACTTAAAAATTAAACGAAGCATGGTCGAATTTCGACCACTAACGGATTAACTAACTAGTACGGATTAAATAAAAGTGGGATAACTGCGGCCAAGTATAGGTTTATAAATACAGCCATTAAAATCATTTGTTACATTTCTGGTATAAAAAGTACTTAAACAAATAGCTTTTTTTTTATTATATGCTATAGGGTGCAAACGAGCAGACGGGTTACTTCTTGTTAAGTGTCTACCACTACCTATGGACACCTGTAATTCAAGAGTCAGAAGTGAGTTGCCGCCCTTTCAATCCCTCCTCAAGAGTCAGGACGAGGAGGAGTTTGGGCCTGGTTACCACACACACTCAGTGAAAAGCGATGAAAGACTAGTTTAACTCCGGTTTCCTATGAGACCGTGGTATCGATTGGCCGTGGCCATTCGAGTAATGTAAAGGGGTTAGGAAGAATCAGTACCTAGTAACCACGAGCCTAAAGATTCTTGTATCAATAAATTAGAATATTGTCATCAATAGGTAATTTTAGTTGGCAAGTTAAATAAGTTCAGAAATTTGAGTGTTAAATTCATGCCGTTAGAAATTAAAGTTTGTATTTCTATTAAATGTAATAAAAAAAATACTCATTTCCTTTTCTCAACATGAATGGCTGCTATTGTCTTTGATGAAGAGGCCTTCAACACAGATTGAATGGAAGTGTTCATTTTTAAAACAATGACTCAGGCAGGAATGTCGTTTTAGTTTATTTAGAACAGGAAATCCCGTAAATAAGAAAAATGTAGATCCTATTTATTACATTAGTATTTTGAAATATATAGTAGTGAGATATTATCGAATTTATATGTTAAATAAAGTTTATTTTCTTACGTAAAACACAGTAAAATGATATATGCCTATTGTTATATATGGCTTTTGAGGAGAACTTGCTGTTGTAATATTTTTTACAATATTCTATTTATTAATAAATACATAGTTAATTTAGTGCAGTTTTATCACGTAACCATAGTTTTGCCTAATGGTGGTATGTTGGTACGTTTACGTCAAATATAATACTAGATGTCAGAAAAAAATATCAAATGCGGTTTAATCTAAATAGCAAAACTTTTAATAAGGTGAGATTCGAACCTTAAAACTTTGGTAGGGGATAGTGAGAAACGCCTTTCTCGCCGTTAAAAACAAACGCCGTAGCCTAAGTCGCCACTTAGGCTACGGCGTAGTCTTAACAGCTGCATTAACTTCAATAAGATTACAGGGAAGTCACAAAAAGCACGTGCACAAAGGAAGGCCTTACTGCTAAAAATACTTACAGACAAGCTTTGGAAGGACTTAAAATGAGTAGTTTTTAGTTTATAAAGAACACCCTGTACCCTACCACGCTTCGCTGTGACATATTGTGGCTGCATTGAAGAGAAATGAGCAACAAAAAACAAAAAATAGATAATAACAATCTTTGAAGTGGGTTGTATATCGTGACAAAATTCAGCTCAATCGATTCAGAACTTTTAGAGTTTTAAAGCGTACAAAAAACAACTTAACATTTTTATATTAATAGATTTAATGATGTTAGTTTTTAGTTAAGATTAGTTAATATGAATAGTAAACATAAAGAAACTAAAAATAGCTTGGATGTTTTAAATAAGTATTTACATTTGGTAACAATAAAAGTCGCTCGTTCTAGTTTATTAAATGTGTACCGAATGTTGTGCGACAAATACAAATTGTTCTGTCAATCGACAATTGAGGGACGCAAGCGAAGCGGAACCATTTTAAAAGGGGACCTACTATTATATTGTGGGCTTAATAAATGTTTCTTAAGCGTTTACAGTTTATTGTATTACCGATTGAAAAAGCTATGTGTCGAACATACGTACTATGTACTATGTCTTCTGGTACTATATATGCTATAATGTGTTTTACGTACATATACGTGTGAGAATCATATACAATAATCAACATAATTTTTATTTATTTATTAAGGTCCTTCACAGCTGACAGTAAGTACATGACGAAATTTTTTTTTCTAAAAGTCAACTCCCGCACTAGGATTATATCCTGTGTCTTTACAAACACACATGAAACGGACACAAAGAACACCCAGACTCAGAACAACAATTTGTGGATCACACAAAGTGTCGTCCCATGTGAGGATCGAACCCACAACACTCAGCGTAGTAGTAAGCGGCGTGGCGACCGCTTAAACCACTACACCATCCGTGCAGTTTTAGAGAGTATTACGCCAATTACGAATTACACAATATAACAGGTAAAATAAGTAAACAAAAGTGAACCCGCATTAATTAGTGCTTACATGCATATGCATTGTGTTAATAAAGTGTGTATTATGATTGTAGTATGTGTCATGATGTCTGTGTATGATCGTGTGTGTATAGGGTGCGTGTTTGCTTGCTACACTATTGCTGTATCAGATGATAATTTCTAGCTACTATTGCATGTATATTTAGCAAGAAGTACTTCATCAACAGTAGAACGAGAGGTACTTTGATCATTATGACCAATTTAGTTATGATCAATGATCGTAATAAGTTTCAGTGTAGATAGAGTTTAAAACGATCATAAGGAATTTAAAAGGTGCGACAGGTCGTTTCGCTTCACGATTAGGGGCTCTTCATGTGTCAAGTTATTTGGCTACCTCTTATCTGTCATAATTGGATTGTGTATAAATACTGTTAGCCGCAACCAAAATATCCATTGCAACATCTTTTTCTTTCTCGACCTTATGCAGCTCCATCGACCCTCAACAGCAGGAAATAAGCACTGCAATCACTATTTAGCTCAAGCATAAAATAATATGCCGGATATTTTCTGGTTTCTTAAACACTTTAGGATTAATTACGGCCAATCGACCTCGATCAGAACTTGTAGACACAACTATTTTATTAGCTCCTCAGAACTTGGTTAGGATTAAATCAATCAAACTTTACAGAAGCAATAATTAATCCTTATGTAGAATGAAGAAAACTATTAATGAACTGGTATTGAAAAAGTTATCTTCAATATTCAATTTATTCGATAGGATTATTAATTGGTGCTTTATAAAATCCACATGAATACTGCTGTCGTCTCCAATACCTATTTGTTTTTAGAACATTTATTTTTATCTACGGATTCTAAACTTAAATGTGTGTAGGAGAGTGATAGTGACCGGCCTCACAGAAAACCGGTGTTAAAAGTATGTCGTTTATTTCACCGAGAGAGTGAGGTTACCGGAGCACAAAACATCCCCCCAGACTATTTCTGGGGGGATGTTTTAAATAGGTTCACTTAGGTTAATAACATAGGTTACTTGAATGCCATAAATTTGTTTAAAATTGTTGTAGTACCTATTCTCGGTGGTAAACAACAACAACCGGTGAGAAACAAATATTAACAGATCATACAAACATTTGGTCCCACCTGGGAATCGAACCCGAGACCTCAAAACAGTAGTCGCATACCGCTACCACTGCACCACCGAGACGGTTGACAAAAATTTAAAATAATTCCGGGTAACACTGTGGGAATATCTATGTTAGGACTTACCTAATAATAAAAGCAGCAGCAACATTCCTCACTTTGGGGCACTTGAGTAGCGCAACGACTGTGAGGAGATTACCGAAGAGTCCTACCAACATAATAGTTCCTGTCACCACAGCCGCGAACGTCAGCAGTCCTGGGGAGAATCTGAAAAACAATATAGAATGTAGAATAACTAAATGTTCAGTATTAAAATTTATTAGTAGTGATGAGAAGAGTCAACTAAAAACTTTTCATTATTTTCCTAGCTTTAAAAATAAATAAAGACTATTGTATCATAATATGATGGCTATATTATATAAACTTTATATTTAAAATAGTATTTACTTCTTTATATGTATATCTATTAAATATTTAACCAAAATTTACGTAATTTCCTGTAAAAGACGCCATACGCCAAGGTCCTATTTTTGATAAAGTCTGGTTCTTACTATCTGTTAATATTTGGGCGTTATTTGCATTTGTTGTATTTAACTAGAAAGTATCCTGATATATTAAATGCGAATTCATTCATATTGCTGGTTAGATATTGCCAGGGTGAAATTCGATTACCGAAACCGTTAGTGGTCAATAATACGCGTATTAAAACATTTCGTGTGTAATCAAGTCGGGAACACATAAGTGAAGCCGTTAATTATTTATAAATAAGAGTTATGTTTTAATTAAAAAGATAGACCTGTATCTGTATATAAAATGAAAGTATTTACAAATATGTCTTAGGATGTTTATTTGTGTTTTAGAACCCACAAAACTAATTAATAATAATAATAATATTCTACCACATTCACACAACGTCATCTAGTCCCAAACTAAGCAAAGCTTGTACTATGGGTACTAGACAACTGATATAAATACGTATATACTTTTTTTTGGTAAATACATACATATTATACATAGAAACACCCAGACCAAATCTAACATTAAATGTTCATGAAAACAAATGTTTGACTTGAGCGGGAATCGAACCCGCGACCATTAGAATAGCAGTCTGTTATACAAACCACTACGCCACCCGGTCGTCAAATAAAACAAAAAAAATGTTTAATTAAATTAAACATTTAAGTTCATTCTAAACTTAATGAAAAAAAAAACAAGCATGCAGAATATTAAACAGCCTCCAGTTAACTAATTTCAGAGTAGCAGCTAATGTAGGTAGTAAACCACCTGAATAAAGCTGCGCAATTGGATATGACTATAGTGATTAAGTCAATCAGAAAAGAGATTAAGTGCCAGTAAATATCTATTTCTAAGGCGTTCAATAAGGCGATTTAGGATTATAGACACGCACACATACACCAAGTACTTGTGAGCATAAACATGAGTCGAGTGTTTTTGGAAAAAAAAAAACAATCAGAAATGTTTTTTTTTTCAACAGAAAGGAAGTCCTCTCAATGTAAAAGACTTTGGTTATTTATAAACGTGTTTGTGTCTTTGAATAAATTTTTTTATCCTTATATTTGCACTGGTTTCCTTTACCGCAGCTTTCGACCACGATAAAAGAAATCCGGTGGTGTTTGAGTCTTGGAATAAATACGTAGCAGGTGCAGTCAGTTTCTTTAGAAACGATCATTTAGTACAGAACTGGTCTTCGTTGTGAAGAATCATGTTACTAGGAACGAATGGTATAAAAATCTAGGCAGATTGCAATGAACTATATAATATATCTGTATTTTATTTTTGGTTAATATTAAGGAGATTGTCTTTCATGAGACTGTAAGTTGCAATAAAAATGGTTTCTCATTAACTGGGTACTCTAAAAACACATTACTTAAATGTGTAGTATATATCCATACTTATAAATATGAAAGTGACTCTGTTTGTTTGTTACGCTTTAACACCTACCACTAAAGCGATTTAAAAAATTCTTTCACCAATGGAAAGCTACATTATCAGCGAAAAACATAGGCTAGATTTTACCGCGATAACCGACATACACGCGGGCGGAGCCGTAGGCAAAAGCTAGTCTTTATATATATTGTTTTTTTTTTATATATTTATTTAAATGGGTACCTACAGGAGACTATATAACTGTTCGATGGTAAGTTCCCTCAGGTACAGTAACGCATTAATGCGTAAATGAGTACTCGTATCTCATGTATCGTAGCGGCGGTAGCCTAGTGGTTAAGGCGTTGGATTTGCGATCAATAGGTGGTGGGTTCAAATCCTGACTAGTACACTACCGACGTGAACCCACTCCTAACACAAGCAATTACCTAGCTTAGCGGGAGGGGTTAACGGGAATACTAGTAATTTCGGTTGCCAGTAGACCTTAAAAAAAAAGTATTTCTTAATATTAGTTGCCTGCCTGAAGTTAGTTATGTTTGTGATTACAACGAAAGTGACCTATTTGTAACAATTTACAGCATTTGTATATACATATACATAATTAACGAATATTAACAGCCACACAATATTATTATAGGGGCCGGGGGTCCACTGTAATTTGGTAATGTACTAACATTTATTTAGTACACTAGTTTACAATAGTTTACAGACTAGTTACAGTTTCTGCGTTGTGATTAATAGTGTTCTCTGTTACTGTAAATCTTTCACTGATTCTCGTTCTTATTTCTAAAATTTTGTATAACTGTAATGATATGTAGGTACTAATGTGTTGATTTATAAGTGATTCCATTAAGTTTAATTAAATCATTAAAAAATACGCATATGGTTATGTGCGTGTTGACAGGATTAGTTTAATAAACTGATCAAAATATTAATAATGCTTTTTTTTGTCGGTTACAAAAATATTATTATGAATACTCTATTTCCTACTTGCAAATATTACACACATTTAATACAATAAATTGTATCCGACCGAGGAATGAATTTCTTTTTTATATTACGACGACAGCTTTGTTTGTTCGTGTCTATATCTGTTTTTTTTTGCGTAGCACAAAAGCCTTTTACTTCTGATTCAGGATTAACCGAAACAACTAGACAGAGAGGCTGTCAAGTGAATAAAACATTTTCGGACTCAAATTAATTTGTTATAAACTTTGTTAAAATTTTTAGATTTCTATATTTTTTTTATACTTAAGTATATTACCATGTTTTCTTACATAAGTAAAAAACAGTGTTAAAAACAATTAATTCAAAACCTTCTGTGTCTATTTGCCTGTAACCTGACACACATCGAGTTGTGTGAACATGAGTTCCATACGTTAGGACACGTGTAAACTGTGTAAATAACTCCTTGGAATGGAGCTTATTTGTGGATAGTTCAAAGACGTTTTGTGTTTTTACTACTGAACACGTTTTTACGTAATTCACTGTTACGGCTTGATCCAAAGTGTCGGCCACGTTCACCGTCAATGAGCCAATCACATATATTTTTGTATAACAAAATATAAAATTATATTTTATCGAGTATAGTTAAACTGAAATAGCAATTGCACAAGTGCCGGGGTTCAGCGGTAAGCAATTGGTAATTTTCAAGGTGTTACCAATTAAGTATCGGATTGGAGACATTCATTTCCTAAATTTATGATAAACTAGCTTTCTTTCACATTAATATAGGCAATGTCAGCAAATTTAGGTATCGCTCAAACTTTTTTTTTTTACTCCAAAATCAGAATCAGACTCAATTATATTTTAAGGTAGATACATTATATTCATGCGTGCAGACAAAATATTTGTTCCGTAAGCGTACATGCATCTATTAACATGTCTATTTTATGTCTATTAAAAAAAAAATTCATGAATAGTTTACATGCATTTTTTTTTAATTTAGATATAATAATAAACATTCGTTTTAATAGACATCCCTACTCCTACAACAATAAAATAATAGGTAATAAGATTTAAAAAAAGTAACGAAGGTGTAGTAGAAATTATGATTTAACATTTCAACATTTAAGTAAATATAGCCTTTTAGGTTATGGTACTAGGTAATTTTTTAAGGATAAAAATTTGGTTATGATATAATCAGCTGTGGTTGTTCCTTAACAAAATATTACCTTTACCGTACATTATTACTAAAGGTTTGGATTGTACTTGTGTTGGGGTTCAACACTCCTAAATTATTTTAATTTACATTAATGCGTACAATTTGAGCTCCGATCTTATTATTTTAATTATAATGTCTTAGTTTCTCCTCATTTGAGGTTTAAGGTGCATCGGTTTTACAAGATTAAAGATTATTATTACACATTGGTTCTAAATCCGTTGGTCGCAAACTCTCTAAACTAAATTAAAAACCACTTATATTTAGTTTAGTCCTGTCAAATGCCGTTTCGTATGCTGAAAATGTAGGACTAAACTATATTTAGTTTGACACAACCTAAATTAGTTAAGCGACTCAGATTAGTCCATAATAATTGCTCATTTGATATTCTATTGTACATTCTGAACGTCAAAGATTAATTAAAATTAGAAACATCAGACTAAAATTGGACAGGATCTAATTAGTTTACTTGAAAATAGAATTTCGGAAATCACCTAACAAAAATTGAAAAATTTTAGGAGAATTTTAGTTAAGGTACGTCGGGGTACCAGGGATTTCCTTTCTAGGGTACACCTGGTCCCCCGGGACCTACCCGAGACGGCGTGTGGTTTTTGGTCGGCTCGAGTCCGACATAATCACCCCACCGGTGAGTGATATCCGAGGGGATTTCCGCACAGGAAAAAAAAAGAAAAGAAAGAGGAATTTTAGTGTAGTGATGTGAACAACAAACAGAATTAACACCATTGAGCAATACTCGAGTATGACAATGGATTAGATTTTTTTTAAGTATTACCATCTTTAAGGCGCTTATATAATTAGGAATGTTAAAAACTGTATTCGTTCCTTAATTGCCATCGCTTAGAGGTGGTATTTTATTTTTCAAATTTGAATGACACCAAACGGTAAGTTTCACCAAATAAAAAAGAATTACACAAATAACGAGAGGAGCTGGATGCGAGAAGACGAAAGTCGATCGGAGTGGCGTGCGATAGGAGAGGCCTATGTCCAGCAGTGGACTGCGATAGGCTCATGATGATGATGATCATAAATAGCGGAGTTATATGGTAACAAACATAAAAAGCAAAACCAAATTGAGAACCTCCTTTTTGAAATCTAAAAAAAAGACTAAGGTCTATTGTTGCCTAAAAATACTTACACATCTTGGAAATACTCCTTTAATCTGGTAACATTCTTTTGTCTA